CCCCCCCCCCCTCCCCCCCCCTTTTCCCCCCCCCCCCAACCCCCTCCCCCCCCCTCCCCCTTTTTTTCCCCCCCCCCCCCCCCCCCCCCCCCTTTTTTTAAAAAAAACCCCCCCCCTTTTTTTCCCCCCCCCCCCCCCTTCCCCCCTTTCCCCCTTTTTTTTTTCCCCCCCCCCCCTCCCCCCCCCCCCCTTCCCCTTTTTTTCCCCCCTCCCCCCTTTTTTCCCCCTTTCCCCCCTTTTTTCCCCCCCCCCCCTCCCTCCTTTTCCCCCCCCCCTTTTTTTCCCCTTCCCCCCTTCCCCCCCCTTTTCCCTCCCCTTTTTTTTTTCCCCCCCCCCCCCCCCCTTTTTTCCCTTCCCCCCCCCCCCCTCCCCCCCTCCCTCCCCCCCCCCCCTCCCTCCCTTTCCCCCCCCCCCCCCCCCCCCTCCCTCCCCCCCCCCCCCCCCCCCCCCTCCCTCCCTCCCTCCTTCCCCTTTCCCCCCCCCCTTTCCCCCCCCCCCCCCCCCCCCCCTCCCCCCCCCCCCCCCCCTTCCCCCCCCCCCCCCCCCCCCCCCCCCTTTCCCCCCCTCCTCCCTCCCCCCCCCCCCCCCTTTCCCCCCCTCCCTTCCCCCCTCCCCCCCCTCCCCCCCCCCCCCCTTTCCCCCCCCCCCCCCCCCCCCCCCCCCCCCCCCCCCCCCCCCCCTCCCCCCCCCCCCCCCCCCCCCCCCCCCCCCCTCCCCCCCCCCCCCCCCCCCCCCCCCTCCCTCCTTCCCTTTCCCCCCCCCCCCCCCCCCCCCCTCCCCCCCTCCTCCCCCTCCCCCCCCCCCCCCCCCTTTCCCCCCCCCCCCCCCCCCCCCCTCCTCCCCCCCCCCCCCCCCCCCCCCCCCCCCCCCCTCCTTTCCCCCCCCCTCCCCCCCTCCCCCCCCCCCCCCCACCCCCCCCCCCCCCCCCCCCCCCCCTTTTCCCCCTCCCTTTTCCCCCCCCCCCCCCCCCCCCCCCCAACCCCCTTTTTCCCCCCCCCCCTTTTTCCCCCCCCCCTCCCCCCCCCTCCCTCCCCCCCCCCCCCCCCCCCCCCCCCCCCCCCCCCCCCCCCCCCCCCCTTTTCCCCCCTTTCCCCCTCCCTCCCCCCCCCCCCCCCCTCCCTCCCCCCCCCTCCTTCCCCCCCCCCCCCCCCCCCCCCCCTCCCTCCCCCCCTTCCCCCTCCCCCCCCCCCTCCCCCCCCCCCCCCCCCCCCCGGCCCCCTCCCCCCCCCCCCCCCCCCCCCCCTCCCCCCTCCCCCCCCCCCCCCTTTTTTCCCCCCCCCCCCCCCCTCCCTTCCCCCCCCTCCCCCCCTCCCTCCCTCCCCCCCCCCCCTCCCCCCCCCCCCCCCCCTTTTCCCCCCCCCCCCCCCCCCCCCCCCCCCTTTTCCCCCCCCCGGGGGGCCCCCCCCCCCCCCCTTCCCCCCCTTTTTTTGGGGCCCCCCCCCCCCCCCCCCCCCCCCCCCCCCCCCCCCCCCTCCCCCCCCCCCCCCCCCCCCTTTTTCCCCCCCGGCCCCCCCCCTTTTCCCCCCCCCCCCGGCCCCCCCCCGGGCCCCCCCCCCGATCCCCCTCCCTCGGTCCCCCTCCCTCGCTCTCCCCTCCCTCGGTCCCCCTCCTCAATCCCCCTCCCTCGCTCCCCCTCCCTCGGTTCCCCCTCCCTCGCTCCCCCTCTCTCGGTCCCCCTCCCTCGGTCCCCCTCCCTCGGCCCCCCTCCCTCGGTCTCCCTCCCTCGGTCCCCCTCCCTCGGTCCCCCCTCCCTCGGTCCCCCCTCCCTCGGTCCCCCTCCCTCGGTCCCCCTCTCTCGGTCCCCCCTCCCTCGGTCCTGCCTCCCTCGGTCCCCCTCCCTCGGTCCCCCCTCCATCGGTCCCCTTCCCTCGGTCTCCCCTCCCCTAGGTCCCCTTCCCTCGGTCCCCCCTCCATCGGTCCCCCCTCCCTCGGTTCCCCCTCCCTCGTTCCCCTCCCTCGGTCCCCCTCCCTCGGTCCCCCTCCCTCGATCCCCCTCCCTCGGTCCCCCTCCTCGCTCTCCCCTCCCTCGGTCCCCCCTCCCTCAATCCCCCTCCCTCGCTCCCCCTCTCTCGGTCCCCCTCCCTCGGTCCCCCTCCCTCGGTCTCCCCTCCCTCGGTCCCCCTCCCTTGGTTCTCCTCCCTCGGTCCCCCTTCGGTCCCCCTTCCCTCGGTCCCCCTCCCTCGGTCCCCCTTCACTCCCCCTCCCCACTCGGCACAGTTCTGTTGTATACCTTTCATCTCATCTGTAGTTCACCCACTTGTGTTAAACTTTATCACAGAAGTTGAGAAGTTGACCCCTGGCAAGGTTAAAACTTGCAGTCTTAGAACTTGCAGGGTTAGAACTTGCAGGGTTAAAACTTGCAGGGTTAGAACTTGCAGTCTTAGAACTTGCAGGGTTAGAACTTGCAGTCTTAGAACTTGCAGGGTTAGAACTTGCAGGGTTAAAACTTGCAGTCTTAGAACTTGCAGGGTTAGAACTTGCAGTCTTAGAACTTGCAGGGTTAGAACTTGCAGGGTTAAAACTTGCAGGGTTAGAACTTGCAGGGTTAGAACTTGCAGGGTTAGAACTTGCAGGATTAGGATTTACAGGGTTTGAACTTGCAGGATTAGAGCTTGCAGTGTTAGAACTTGCAGGGATAGAACTTGTAGGGCTAGGATTCGCAGGGTTAGAAGTTGCAAAGTTGAAACTTGCAGGGTTAAAACTTGAAGAGTTAGAACTTGCAAGTTTAGAACTTGTGTGTTAGAACATGCAGAGTTAGTAGAACTTGCAGAGTTATTAGAACTTGCAGAGTTAGAACTTGCAAGGTTAGAACTTGCAGGAGGCGAAGCTTGAAAAAGGTGAAACTTGCAGGAGATTTAGCTTAATGGGGCGAAACTCGCATGGATGAAACGCGCAGTGGTGACACGCAACACAAGGAACATAAAACAAACACAAGAAGCAAGGTGACTTTACCAAACAAGAAAAACGCAATATAAACAAGACAGAAAACAAGATAGCGTAACACAAACAAGTAACAAACGAGGGACAAACGATGATGATGCAATCACAAAGCAATGGTGAAGAAAGGACAGGTTGAAGACTGTCATCGGGACAACGTTTCGCTCAGTATAGAGCTTTATCAAATGATCTACATGGAGCGAAAGGTGGCCTTAATAATAACCTGTCCTAGGCAAAGCTCTACACAGAGCGAGACACTGTCCCTGTTAAAGCTAGCTCTTCAACGTGGGCTCTTTTCTTTCACTGAGAGAAAAGTAAGCAAGAAACAATAGCATCGTAAACAAAAGCCAACGCACAAGACAGAGGACAGGAACACGCCCGAATGAAAGACATTGTAATTCTATATTGAATTCAACACTTTACGGACCGGTGTAAATCTCCTTCAGCGATAGATGGCTTTGTGTAGTGTGTGTGTGTGTGTGTGTGTGTGTGTGTGTGTGTGTGTGTGTGTGTGGTGTGTGTGTGTGTGTGTGTGTGTGTGTGTGTGTGTGTATGTTACATTAATACAGTGTTAGGCTCGTGGTGTCTCGTCTACATAAACTTTTCGTTAAAATTGATTCTCTTGCCAATACTTTCGGCACACTATTTCCATTTCCATTTCCATTTCCGTTCCAGCTGACTATCTCTCTCCTATTTCTTAGGATAAATTATCCAATATGTCTTCTATTCTACTACTTATGTAGCTTAATGTTACGGCTTCTTGATTTACCTTCTTCACGCACTAGGGAATCCTTCTTAAGCTTTGATAATTTTAGGAGGATTAACTTAGGAACAGTAAAGAATTTTTTTAAGGTAAAGTTAATAATAGTTAAGAACTTTTAAGATAAAATTAGGTCCAGTAAAGAATTTTTAAAGTTAAGAGAGTTTAAGAATAATTAAGAAGTTTGAAAATAGTTAAAAAACACATAAATAATCTTATAAACACTTGAAGATTTTTTTTTTAAATTTGAGCACTTAAAAAGACTTTAATTTAAAAAAAAATGAAACACACGAACAATTCAAGACTCTTAAGAATATTTACGAAGGCAAATTAACTCTTAAGAACACCACAAAATGCAGCTTCATAACAATTAACTTCTGCCTGATATGACCCCTGAACTTTGACCCCGGGCTGTTATAATCAATTATAATTGATCACAACAGTCCTGGAAATAATTATCTCCAGCGCCTTTGTGAGGGAATTAAAAATTATTATTGTTTATTTGATTTGGTTGCACCTTATTCACTGCTTTATTTTAACCGGGCTAAAACCCCCCCAAAAAGAATCATAATTTATTTTGGTAAGGGTCTGAATTAAATAACTATTCACGTCATATATTTATTTTTTATTTATTATCACACTGGCCGATTCCCACCAAGGCAGGGTGGCCCGAAAAAGAAAAACTTTCACCATCATTCACTCCATCACTGTCTTGCCAGAAGGGTGCTTTACACTACAGTTTTTAAACTGCAACATTAACACCCCTCCTTCAGAGTGCAGGCACTGTACTTCCCATCTCCAGGACTCAAGTCCGGCCTGCCGGTTTCCCTGAACCCCTTCATAAATGTTACTTTGCTCACACTCCAACAGCACGTCAAGTATTAAAAACCATTTGTCTCCATTCACTTCTATCAAACACGCTCATGCATGCCTGCTGGAAGTCCAAGCCCCTCGCACACAAAACCTCCTTTACCCCCTCCCTCCAACCTTTCCCAGGCCGACCCCTACCCCGCCTTCCTTCCACTACAGACTGATACACTCTTGAAGTCATTCTGTTTCGCTCCATTCTCTACATGTCCGAACCACCTCAACAACCCCTTTCCCCAGCCCTCTGGACAACAGTTTTGGTAATCCCGCACCTCCTCCTAACTTCCAAACTACGAATTCTCTGCATTATATTCACACCACACATTGCCCTCAGACATGACATCTCCACTGCCTCCAGCCTTCTCCTCGCTGCAACATTCATCACCCATGCTTCACACCCATATAAGAGCGTTGGTAAAAACTATACTCTCATACATTCCCCTCTTTGCCTCCAAGGACAAAGTTCTTTGTCTCCACAGACTCCTAAGTGCACCACTCACTCTTTTTCCCTCATCAATTCTATAATTCACCTCATCTTTCATAGACCCATCCGCTGACACGTCCACTCCCAAATATCTGAATACGTTCACCTCCTCCATACTCTCTCCCTCCAATCTGATATCCAATCTTTCATCACCTAATCTTTTTGTTATCCTCATAACCTTACTCTTTCCTGTATTCACCTTTAATTTTCTTCTTTTGCACACCCAAACCAAATTCATCCACCAATCTCTGCAACTTCTCTTCAGAATTCCCAAGAGCACAGTGTCATCAGCAAAGAGCAGCTGTGACAACTCCCACTTTGTGTGTGATTCTTTATCTTTTAACTCCACGCCTCTTGCCAAGACCCTCGCATTTACTTCTCTTACAACCCCATCTATAAATATATTAAACAACCACGGTGACATCACACATCCTTGTCTAAGGCCTACTTTTACTGGGAAAAATTTCCCTCTTTCCTACATACTCTAACTTGAGCCTCACTATCCTCGTAAAAGCTCTTCACTGCTTTCAGTAACCTACCTCCTACACCATTACACTTGCAACATCTGCCACATTGCCCCCCTATCCACCCTGTCATACGCCTTTTCCAAATCCATAAATGCTACAAAGACCTCTTTAGCCTTATCTAAATACTGTTCACTTATATGTTTCACTGTAAACACCTGGTCCACACACCCCTACCTTTCCTAAAGCCTCCTTGTTCATCTGCTATCCTATTCTCCGTCTTACTCTTAATTCTTTCAATTATAACTCAAACCATACACTTTACCAGGTATACTCAACAGACTTATCCCCCTATAATTTTTGCACTCTCTTTTATCCCCTTTGCCTTTATACAAAGGAACTATGCATGCTCTCTGCCAATCCCTAGGTACCTTACCCTCTTCCATACATTTATTAAATAATTGCACCAACCACTCCAAAACTATATCCCCACCTGCTTTTAACATTTCTATCTTTATCCCATCAATCCCGGCTGCCTTACCCCCTTTCATTTTACCTACTGCCTCACGAACTTCCCCCACACTCACAACTGGCTCTTCCTCACTCCTACAAGATGTTATTCCTCCTTGCCCTATACACGAAATCACAGCTTCCCTATCTTCATCAACATTTAACAATTCCTCAAAATATTCCCTCCATCTTCCCAATACCTCTAACTCTCCATTTAATAACTCTCCTCTCCTATTTTTAACTGACAAATCCATTTGTTCTCTAGGCTTTCTTAACTTGTTAATCTCACTCCAAAACTTTTTCTTATTTTCAACAAAATTTGTTGATAACATCTCACCCACTATATTTACTGTGTATTAATTTCTACATTTTGAAGTGTTTTGTGTTTTTATTGTGTGGTTCACAGAATAAACACTCAGTGTATATACACTGAGTATATACAGTGTATATACAGTGTATATACACATCAGTGTATATGCACTGATGGTTGACTTCAAATCTTATTTCATGGATTAGAGTATTCTTGACTGGGATGAGGAGGTGACTTGTCGTCTTCATGGTTTTTGTGTAGTTGATTAATCACAGGAATCGTTGGACAGTTCTTCATCTGCAGGTCTTGCCTTCATCTTGTAGTGATGACGATTGGCTCGTCATTCGTGACCACAGGGGTTTTGATTGGTGTGAATTTCGCACTCACGAGATCAGAGGGTATCTGGTTGAGAAGATGACGTAAGTCACTCTAGTGGTGTAGTCTCCACTGGTTGTGGTTCTCGAGTCGCCGTCTTCGATTTGTTGATGAGTAGTGACATCTCCGTCGAGGTCCCCTGGGTGTTGATGAGTAGTGACGTCTTCGTCGAGGTCCTCTGGGTGTTGATTAGTAGTGACGTCTTCGTCGAGGTCCCCTGGGTGTTGATGAGTAGTGGCATCTCCGTCGAGGTCCCATGGGTGTTCCTGCCTCCTCCTCCAGTTCTAGTACTGAAATCTTGACGATCCTGAGCTTCATAATGAAAACTGTCACCCTGAGCAGGGTCGTGTGTGGCAGCAGCTCAGATGGTAGCAGACGTCGTGGCCGATTGGTAAGATAAAATTCCATTTCGCTATGCCAAATATGATCATTATTCATTTTCCCTGCATGATAATCTCCTCATGCATCTCGGCGGATACTTTTTCTCAGATCTCAAAGGTAAAACGTACGAGTCGATATTTTTTCTTACCCTTTCACGTTCATACACAAGCACACTCCTACCTGCCTACATACTCACTTTACTTCTCTTTATGAGACAGGTGCCTCTGTATTACATCTAAACAGGTGGTTATATAGTCTTCTGAACCCTCACAGGGTCTCACTAGCTGTACTCTACCTGTAGCTGTACCTTCGTCAGGTTGATTATAATTACAACAGTACAAAGGTACCGAATAATATTACAATGACAGCATATTTTACATTATGTTAGGGAACATTTCTTTCACTTAACTATTACACTAGAAATGCTCACGTTCATGGGTAAACAAGGTCAGACATTGATGTAGGATGTGTTATTAACGGAACTGTAAATGGTGTAGTGGTAAACTAGGAGCTAATTCTGAATTATATGAAAACCATTTATGGATGTGATTCAGTACCTTCCCCTTACATAGACCTGAACGGATACAGAACAGGTTTGATTGACTCGTTAGGATTTATCGTATGTTCTAGGGAAATTTTTATCGTATTCAATTTT